GGGGGGGGGGGGGGTTCTGTTACCTCGATCCACTTCTGAGCTTCGGCCAAAGCGGGCTCCGGCGGCGGCGGCGGGGGGTCCCGCGGGGTCTGGCCGGGCTCCTCCATCCGCTGCTCCTCCGGGCAGCCGGGACTGGCCATTTGCAAACGGCGAGCGGCGCCCCTGCCGCACCAGCAGCAGCGGGGAGGCTGGGCGCCCACTAACGGAGCCCTCCTGGCAGGCAGGCAGGCAGGCAGGCGGGCTGCGCCAAAGGAGCCCGAGGCCGCGGCCGCCTCCTCGCAGCCCCGGGAGGGAGGGAGGGAGGGAGGGCACCGCTTGCAGCAGCAGCAGCAGCCCGGCCGGCAGCGGCGGCTGCTACTTTGCGCCTGCGGGGACCTCGTCGCTGGGGGCTCCCTCCTGGCCGGCCGGGTACCTGCCTCGTCCCCGCCCACCCGCTGCCGCTGCTCTGGCAAATGGGAGCGCGGCCGAGCGGGCGGCTAAAAATAAAGCCGCAGAAGGAGCCGCGGCGGGCTGAGCGCCGGGCCGGCCCCTGCCGCCAAGTGCCCGCGCGGCCGCCTGCTCACCAGCGCCCCGCAGAGGGGGAGCAAAGCAGGCGCGCTGAAGTGGGGCCCTTCTCCCCAGGAGTCGCCCAAGTCTGGGCCAGGTGGGTCGGCTCAGCAGTGTTCCCTCTAAGCTGAGTGAGTGTGAGCTAGCTCACAGGTTTTTTAGCCTCCGGCTCACACGTTTTGGTCTTCGCTCAGGAAGGAGGGCTCCAGAGCAAACTAATGTATGCAGCAGCCAAACAGCTCGTTTGTCCCTCGCTTTAACGCCAGTAGCTCACAAAGTAGAATTTTTGCTCACCAGACTCCACAGCTTAGAGGGAACATGCTCTCTCGGGGGAATCCTGCAAGAGTTGTTTTAAAACGGCCAGGATCAAGAGAAAAGACAAGACAAAAAAAAAAAAAACAGGAGTCTCTACCAATAGTCCCTCTCAGCTGTGGAGTCCTGTGAGCAAACATTCTACTTTGTGGGCTACTGGCATTAAAGTTGTGAGCGAGGGATTTGGCTGCTGCATAGATTAGTTTGCTCTGGAGCCCCAATCCTTCCTGAGCACAGACAAAAAATGTGAGCCAGAGGCTAAAAAACCGTGACTCACGCTCACTCAGCTTAGAGGGAACACTGGCAACCTTTCAAAAGGACCACAACCTTTCAAAAGGACCACAACAGCCCTCTCCCCAGGTCAACTGCTAAGCAAACCAGCTCAAGGTTTGAAGGATTGACTAAAAACATGTATAAGGGCTTTTTTCCTGGGGGAACACAGGCCGGAACAGAATTCCAGAACCTCTTCGACAACATTCTTTTTAAAACGTTTAAAAGTTTGTGGGTTTTAAGTATACAGATTGAAAACTTCATTTCCCTCTTGAAAGTTTCAGCACCTCTGAAGAAGAAGAAAAGCCCTGTATAATCTACTTCTCAACCAGGATTTTCAAGGTGGCTCAGGGCAGTATGGCTTAATAAACTTACATTTCTGAGAGCATTGTTACAGTTTCCAAAGATCTCTCTCTTGAATTTCTTTAGAACATTTCTATGCCTCCTTTACAGAGACCTGCTCTAGGAGGATCACACAGTTACAAACAACATGATACAATAAAAAGACAATGTAAGCATTATTAATATTAGAACAAGTCATAAAACAACATTCCACAGTATCTCTCCTATGTAATAATCCTGTTTTAGAGTGGCAAGATTCGATGCGTGCCAAAATCAGTTGGCTCCCTCAGCTGCCAATCAGAAGGCACTGCCTGCGTTGGCTGGCTGCGTTGCCCGAGTCCCGCCCACAGAAGGGGTGGCCAGCGTCTCGGCCTCAGTGTGCTCTGAGCTGACTGGCGGGACGGACGCTCCGGCGGGCGGAGGGTAAGCAGGCCAACTGGGAGAAAGCGGAGGAGTGGAGCAAAAGGCCAGAAAAGTAAAGACAACTGGGCAGGGAGAAAAACACGCCCCAAGGGGTTCCCTGCGCTGCTCTTTTGCCCCACTGAAACCCTTTCCCTGGGAATGAAGGGGGTCCCCCCGAAAATGCCTGCCACCGCACTTTGACGCCACGCCTCCACCACCTCCTTGGGCTCCATGTGTGTGGCCTGGCACAGAGAAGCCCTGTATGTGTGAAGCAGCCGGCTCTGTGGCAGCCGGGTGGAAGGGGGCACATGGGGTACTCACAAGCCAAGGGCTGGCCAACCAAGTTGCTGATTCACCGGGAAGCGCCCTGGGGGAGCTCCATCCTTTCCAGCCTGGGGCCCCCAAGCCATGTCGCCACCCGCCCTCTGAGGTTGCTGGCCGGGCTGAGAGAGCGGAAGATGGCAGCCCTGCTGCACTTTGGCTCCTCCATCTCCCTCACTGCAGAGCCCTGAGAAGGAGGAGGATGCTGCCTCTTCCGGGCTGGCTGAGACACTGCGGCAGCCCCCAGCCCACTTCCACAAGCGCTCCGTGGCCCAGGGCGACAGCACTGAGGCAGACTCAGAAGCAGTGGCGGGGTGGCGGCTACGGTAGGAAGGCGCCCCTCTGCCAGCCACCCAGTCATTGTCCTCTGCCTCCGATAAGGTGGCTCTGCTGATGCTACACAACGGGCCCCGTCACCACCACCACCACCATGCCCACTAGAAGGCCTCCCGGTTGCAGAGGCGCCACCGCGCCAACCGCCTCCTGCTGCCCAACCCCGCCGGCAGGAACCAGGATGAGGGAAGGAAGGGGACCCTAACCCCACCTTAGGAAAGAACCAGCCCTGCATCCACTGGGGGACTGGACATGGCACTCGGTTGGAGCTGCCGGGGGAGGGGGGCCGACGGGTGATTGCTGCAGGCCGGCGCCCTCTCCCAGGCCCTCTCCCTAGAGTACGTTGCATTTCTTTCTGCAACGGGCCTTATTATTAGTAAAATTATAATCATAGAACAGTCCTTGGGCTAAAAGCAGACTATAAAAAGGAACTCTAAAAGACAAACCGCCTCTGTTGAAAGTCTGAGTAAAAACATTTTAGCCTGGCACCTAAAGAATAGTATAGTAGGTGCCACGTGAGCCTCACAGGGAAGGACATAACAAAACCGAGGTGCCACCACTGAAAAAGCCCTGCCTCTGGTTGCCACCTGCATTATCTCAACTCTGGGTTGGGAAATACCTGGAGATTTTGGGGGCGAAGACTGAGGAGAATGGGATTTAGGGAGGGGAGAGACTTCAATAGAGTATAATGCCATAGAGTCCACCTTCCAAAGCAGCCATTTTCTCCAAGTGGACTGATCTCTGTCACCTGTGGATCAGTTATAATCCCAGATCTCCAGCCACCACCTGGAGGATTTTAGCTGGCAGGCTGAATTTTTTAGAAGACATTCCATACAGTCACACTCCACCCTGTGGGGAGGGGCCATGGCTCAGTGGCAGAGCATCTGCCTGGCATGCAGAAGGTCCCAGGTTCAGTCCCTGGCATCTCCAGTTGGAATGATCAGGTGGTAGGTGAACTGAAAGACCTCTTCCTGAGACCCTGGAGAGCCACTGCTACTCTGAGTAGACAATGCTGACCTTGATGGACCGATAGTCTGATTCAATATAAGGCAGCTCCATGAGAATACACCTGCTTTTCTTCCTGCAAAGCTCCAGCTATCATGGCTACTTTAAGAATGACTATTTACACTGAACTGCTTTGTATCAAGACAGACCGTTTGTCCTGTATTCTGTGGGATCGCCGGCGCGCTCGTCGTGTGGAGCAATCCAGGCTCCCGGCCGAACTGCACACGCACACACATGCGCAGTTCGGCTGCCTTGCTCCCTCTTCAGCAGTTCCCCCCCCCCCGCATCTGATCATGCCGGGGAAGAACTGCGCGGCGGCTCAGGGGATCTATGTGATTCCGCCAGCACATGTTTCCTTTGGCCGTACTTCCCCCCCCCCCCCCCCCATGTGGCAGGGGCCCTAGACATTTTTACCGACAGATCAAACTGGAAACCAGTGTAGTGGAATGAATAACATTCTGGATTCAGGTTAGGGAGTCCCGAGTTGAAATTTTCACTCAGATATGAAGTTCGTGTTGGAAGAGAAGGCCTTGGTGCTGTCTCTTAGCCTCAGACTCCAGAGAGGGGGGGGTCTTACAGTCAGATAGACAGGCAAACTGTGGGTTCCTTCCTGTTTACTCTTCTGCCTCTGTCCCTTTGAAGTGTAGGCTGATAACTCTTAGGGAAATTTCCTTCTCACTTCCTTCCATTCTATCTATCTATTTATTTATTTATTTATTTATAGATTTATATACCGCCCTCCCCAATGGGCTCAGGGCGGTGTACAACAATTAAATATACAATTAAAACAGTATTAAAATAACAGTTTACACATCAAAACGTAAAAATACTGTGTAACTATAAAAGTTGTCAGATGGCTAGTCAGAATCAGGCCACTGGTGGACAATTGGTCAGGAAAGCTGGACAGAAAAAGTTAGGGCCAAAGAAGCTGGAGGAGAGGAGAAGGGGACGCCCACTGCCTCAACCAAATGCTTGGTGGAAGAGCTCCGTCTTGCAGGCCCTGTGGAACTGCAATAAGTCCCACGGGGCCCTGATCTCACATGGGAGCTCATTGCAAAAGCCCTGGCCCTGGTCGAGGCTAGCTGGACGTCCCTGGGGCCAGGAACCACTAGCAGATGTTGATTGGTGGACCTTAGTGCTCTACGGGGCTCATATGGGGAGAGGCGGTCTCGTAGGTATGCTGGCCTCTGGCCGTATAGGGCTTTAAAGGTAAGCACCAGCACCTTGAAACAGATCCGGAACTCAATAGGCAGCCAGTGCACTTTGTGCAACACTGGGTGGATGCAAGCCCGCACAGGCATCCCCGTCAGCACCCTCATTGCCACATTCTCTCACTTGCACTCAGTCGAAGAAGATGTATGCCGCTCTCCATCTCTGGCACCGTGGATGCAAGGATGCTCTCTCCATCCACACCCATCCTAGGTAGTTACAGTAGTTAGATCCTATCTCTGTCTCTCAACTTTACGATCTTAACGTACTTCCCAGAATAAAGGCTTCTTGTTCCATTGAAACATACAAGAGGTTCTGTGAAACTCTGGCCCCGGTCACATGGGCTGGATATCACTGGGGAGAGGTGTGGCTCTTTGCCCTGGAGCGAACTACCGCCCAGCCGCCAGATCAAACGTCCCGCCGACGTCCCATGGTTCGGGGGAAGGTGCCGATCATACGTCAATCCTGTGGCATGGCAAAG